AAGGCACCCTTTTAAAGTTCAAAATGCATTTTTTTAATGTAATCCAGTAGTACATTACCCAAGTTCTATCGTTTCAATGATTTTGAATTTTCACAAAATTTAAGGCTCTTTCTTGATTCAAATGATCTGACTCAAAATTTGTGCAAATATAATCAGACCTGTTACAATGTTTAAAATGCTTTTAAGTTATTTATATGCATCTAAATAATAGGATATTAGTGCAATTAATAATTTTGAATGATTGAATCTTGCACTCATGTTTTGAGACATCAAATCTAAGATATTGACTCACAATATATGTTAATATTTTTAATATATCATTTTACATTTTAAGTGAACTAAAAAATTATCGAACTATATTTTACAAGCGAGGCAAAATTAATACAATTATATGAAGATGCATATATATTAATTAGGAAAACTCACAAGTGCTCCACCAAATTGACTAAGTGTTTAAACATAAATGGTCTGAGAATGTTCTGCAGATCAAATTTAAACTTGCACTCAAATAGTTTTCTCTGATAAACGTGCACAATTCTTTTTAGAAAATCTATAATTATTTTAAAGTTAAAACCCTCGTGTTTTAAAAAATCAAATTCAAGATAATCAAACCATGAGTACTTTTAATTAGGTCAACTTGCATGTAGGGCCATAACTAGTATGATTTGATGAGTTTATGCCTTTCATTATCCTCCACATCATAAACAGAAAAATTTGTAAGTTCAAGTCATGTAGTTCGATCCTCCTCTTAAAGATTGAATTGACGAGTCTAGTAATTTCAATGATGTTCAAATCACAAATATAAGAAATAGGATGTCCATTTGCATAGTCCGATCTTCCTCTTCATAAGGACTGAAGTTGACACGACTATTATTTTATAAATATTCAAAAGTCAAATTTTAAATAAATTTCAAGCATAAATGTTTCAAAAGTTATTTTTCTGTTGATAGTCGTGTTGATTGAAGATTTTTACTGGATGTTTCAACTTTTAAATCAATATTCAAAACAAGTTTTCAACATAACAAATCAAAACATCTAATTTAAAATCCGTCCACCCTCCATAGTAGTTTGTTAAAGATGATAAATTTATGATTGACTTCACCTCTCAAAGAGCAAACTTCATATCGAGTGTATCATTATATTTACGCTTTTGATGCAATCTCACACCAGTAAGAACTTGGCCTGAGTTTGCTATCCGCATGCCCCAATGACTCTACAAAAAATAACAATTACGATCATAGTCCTCTGATCGAGTGTTTACCGCCAACTAATACAATTAAATTACGTCCATGGTCGTAACCCCTATATTTTCTAACTATTTTTTACCACTTGAGTTGGAGCCATAAAGCACATTTGTTTGACACAAAATTTTTTGTTAACTGAGATCGACTTAAATTTATCCTATTAGACAAACATTGAACTTAGATCTATAGAGGTCCCCTTGGATGATGCAACTCATGATTGCTGACTTTCAATAAGTTGATCACAAACTCTGATGAACTAGGACGATGGAAGCATGAAATCGTGGTCGGGTTTGTCATCATTTCACCATCATCTACTTCAAGTTCAAGGTAGTAATAAAATCTTAGTTTGTTGCTATTATACACTGAGTATTCAGTGTTAAATGACTAGCTTTATTCGAAAACTCTCCCATTATCAGGAAGAGTAATTAATCATAGAGACTTGTGCCTATAGGAAACCATAGACTCCACATAAAAAAATCCTCGCAAAATGGGGCAAAATCTCTAGGTAGTGTCTTATCTACAATCAAATCTATTTTCTGTAGATTTGACCAAGAATACCAAACTTAAAACTCACAACAAACGAGATTCTAGGTATTCAAATTTTTGGAGCCCATAGACTGCTCTTTTTTTTCCCTGGAATATGACTTAGATCACGTTACAAAGCAGATTGGAAACTTGATCTAGACTTGAAACCTCCATGCTTCAACAAATACACACACACACACACACACACATATATATATATAGAGAGAGAGAGAGAGAGAGAGAGAGAGAGAGAGAGAGCAAAAAGGCTAATATATTAACTAGAAATAAAGATACAGATACAATGTATTGAAGGGCTAGTGTTGAAGGGCCCAAACATGGCACTCCATTCACACCAAAATCAGAAATGGTTTTAAAACTAGAAAATACAGAAAAATACAGTAGAGACATAAAGAAAAAACCTAAAAATGCTGAAATACAAAGTATTAGGTGGCTAGAGAGCAACCCAATTTGGACTTGCATCTGCCTTTGGTTCTAGGGAAGGAGCAAACTAATAAGTTGGTAAGATGATTGCCATTGCCGGTAGTAACCAATTTATCATCCAATATGTTCCCTAGCTAGAGTTGGCCTCCATTCTTCTTCTTCCTCCTGGAATGGACCTGCCATTCCTCTTCCGAAGATTGACTCGCATGATATTGGTCTAACGTGTTCTGGAGATATGCAAATTGTTGAATATTAGAAGCAACAACAAGTTTTAGGCTGATCTGCTATTAGATCAAAGGAGCTCTCTCATGTGTTTTGGCTTGTAAGTGAGTCTTCTTCAATAACAGTGGGTGGTATAAGCACAATTGGATCTGTAGCTGTAGTATGTTGTTCTTCTTTAGGAACTACGGTGTTGGGAAGAGAATCAGATTGCATCTTCTCTGCAGGTATAATAGGTGGCTGTTCTTTAGTGATATTCGGCCTTAGATGAGGATGTAAACGATAGCAAATAGTAGAGTTGTGACCAAACATACTACAATGAGAGCAATAAGGAGGGTGTGGTTCGATTTCAATCTTTTGCCAATACCCGTTGTGAGTAGTTCCAATCCACACCTCATTCGGAGCTGGTTGAGTGATATCCCTCTCAACTAACACAAGCCACAGAGGGTCTGGTGACAGCAAACATATGACTATCAACCCGGAGAGACTTACCGTAGGCAGTTGCTAAGGAGTAGAGAATTTTCAAATTGAACAGATGTAATTTTAACCACAAAAATTTAATCCAAATTGGAATGATATGGGACTCCGACTTTGGGTCGAAACCAATAGTCCACTTCAGAATTCTCATATAACAGTTGTCGATCTTGATATCTTTCTGAGAAAAGATGTCGGTATAATCAACATCATGAGACAACTAAATCAGTATGCGTCGAATGTCGATTAGACCAATATTCCAACTGCCCAATAGCTTCATAGAACTCTTTCCGAATGATCTCCAATTTTGGGTTACCATAAAAAATTTAACCACTAGAGCAAAACGCCAAGATGACGCGAGAGTACTGGTTTTAAACTCTGTGAGAACAACAACAGACTTCCCATTTTTTCCCCAATTTTTTTATGAAGGTGCGATCGCCACCACCTTCAAGAGCATCGTGAAAAGATTGAGGAATATTGCAAGATTTACCTATACGAAAACCAGTCTCTGATTATGAAAGAGGAGCACGAGTAGGAATCGAGAGGTCACCGACAAGTGCAGAAGCATAGGAACTGATAGCCATCTTTGCCGACAAGATTCTGTCGGACATGAAGCGAAGAGACGTCGTTTGAAAGGAAATGAAAAAACACGGGCAGAGCAGTGCGACAAACGTGACCAAGCGAGCAGAGCAGCAGCTCTGTCGCCAGACCGAGACGACGCGAAGACTGCGAAGCAGGCGTCCAAATGATATATGCATCTGGGTGGTTACCGCCAAATGAGTCCGGGGTATTCAAATTTTTGGAGCCCTTAAATTGATCTATTTTTTTCTCATAATATGACTTGATCACGTTACAAAGTAGATTGGAAACCTGATCCAAACTTGAAACTTGCATGGCCCAACTAATATATTTATAAATGCATCTATGGGCTTATTCTTTGCCGTTGTTTATTGACTTAGAATTCAGTTAGTTTCTTTTCTTCAATACCAGTTTTGCGTGTGACATTTGCTTGAGCAGCATAGCTATAGATTTCCTTTATTTACATTGCATTTTTTGTTAGGTGGTTTCAGATTGAACTTGCTAGAGAGATGGGTTATTCTGCAGCAAGATATGGGCATGTTATGTTTTCTGAGAATGTTTATGAACCTTCATTGCAATGTGCTGAAATGTTACTTGAAGGACTGCGAAGGAGGTGTCCAAATGATACCATAATTACGTTCATGGTTGTAGCTCCTATGTTTCCCAACTATTTTTTACCATTTGAGCTGGAGCCATAAAACACATTTGATTGATACAAAATTTTCTATTAGCTAAGATTGACTTAAATTTGTCTTATTAGACAAACATTCAACATAGATCTATAAGTCCCTTGGATGATGCAACTCATGGTTGCTGACAAGGATCATGCGGTCAGTTTGGGTTGATTGCTTCCTTTAAATTAGTGAATCATGAACCATGATGAATTGGGACGATGGAATTATGAAATCTTGATTGGGTTTTTCATCATTTCACCCATCATCTACTTAAAAGTTCAAGGTAGTAAATTTTATAACTTAAAATTTAAGTATGTTGCTATTATACGTTGAATATTCAATATTAAATAACTAGCCTTAATCGAGAGCGCTCTCCCATTATCAGGAAGAATAATTAATCATAGAGGCTTGTGCCTATAGGAAACCATAAACTCCAAATAAAAAAGTCTTTACAAAATGACGGCAAAATCTTTGGGTGGTCTCTTATCTACAATCAAATCTATTTTTTGTAAATTTGACCCGGAGCACCAAACACAAAGCTCACAACAAAAGGAGTCCGGGGTATTCAAATTTTTGGAGCCCATAGAATGCTCTATTTTTCCCTCACAATATGACTTCATCACGTTACAAGGTAGATTGGAAACCTGATCCAAACTTGAAACTTGCATGGCTCAACTAATATATTTATAAATGCATCTGTGTGCTTATTCTTTGCCGTTCTTTATTGACTCAGAATTCAGTTAGTTTCTTTTCTTCAATACCAGTTTTGCGTGTGACATTTGCTTGAGCAGCATAGCTATAGATTTCCTTTATTTACATTGCACTTTTTGTTAGGTGGTTTCAGAGTGAACTTGCTAGAGAGATGGGTTATTCTGCAGCAAGATATGGGCATGTTATGTTTCCTGAGAATGTTTATGAACCTTCATTGCAATGTGCTGAAATGTTACTTGAAGGAGTGGGAAAAGGTTTGTTTTTTACAAATTAAATTACTGAAATATTCTCTATAGCTTGTTTAGGTTGATTAAAAACTTAATAATTTTCTTTTTTGCTTCCTAAACCTTTTTTTATTTGTTAGTTTATGCTATGAATGTACAAATCTCTATGCAAAATTTGTTATTATGCGGAGCTTGATTGTGTTGACCAATTGTTCACTTAGAGCCCTAAAAAAATTTAATTGTATTGGACGCTGCATCGTATTGTTAAGAAAGGCAATAGACCTAGAAAGACTTGGGTATATTGTATAAAAAATGATCTTAATTTATTAGAATTAAATGAAAATGACACTCAATAGGACGCAATAGAGAAAAAGGATTCATGTAGTAGGTCCCACTTAGTGGGATAAAGGTTTGTTATTTTTTTTATTGTTGTTGTTGCCATTGTATCCCTACGTTTAGTTGTTGTTATAGTTTCTTGCATACCCTTAAATTCATAGATGCAGCCTAGCAAAGGATTCAAAGGGTATGCTTTGATCGGTTTCATCATTCCTATTGTTCCTGATAATTTTCTTGTTATTTCAGAATGTGACTCATATTCTCTTAAAGCTAGGGTTAATGAATGAACTATGAGTAAAATTAATGTCTAAATCCATAAGTTCTTGCCCTTCTTTCCCCTTTTTTTTTGAAAATATGTAATTTTCTTATTCTTTACTAAGACCCTTTTCTTAACAGTTTGTTATTGGCAAGTGTGTGTTGCATTATTGCTCTGCTTCACTACTAGCTTGCTTCTTACACTCATTTGCATTTGCTGCAATCGTGGCTTTGCACTTGGCCTTGTGCGCTTGCTTGTGCACTCACACATGTTCACACATTACTTGCTCAATCCATTTCTCTCTTCGCGCATGACCTTGGCTGCTTGTGCAGTTCTCACTTGCTTGATCTTTGATGTTAACACTTTATAAAAATTGGCTCTTCTTATGCTCGTGCTCGGGAAAGGCTTTGTTTTTATCCCTCTTGCACCCTAGCCCGACATGTTGCATTTTTATATTATTTTCTTGCTTTTTATGGATTTTTCTACTTTCTCTTGCTTTCGATGTCACACTTATTCATTTTCTTCAACTTTAAATGGCACTATGTTTTTATTCTTGCTTTCATAATACTCTTCTCCTCCTTTGTCGTTAGCTTTTCAATGAATCTCACCTCTTCTTTCTCCTGCATTGGTTGCTTCTTGGGTTGTAGATAAACCATAAATTAGGTTCTACCTTCTGTCCTTGTGGCTCCTTGCTTCGCTTAAGCTTTTTCTACTTTTATTTCTCTGGAATTTGTTCCTTCATTTGCTTACCCACCCCGTCTCTCTGCTAGCCGACCTAAGGCTTGAAATTAACTAAGGTAAGAACGAACGGTCAGACGGTGTAATTAAATTTTATATTATTCTATTTTTATCAATAAACGTGAAATATCCACATATTAGTTGAAAAGAGCCACTAAAAAAACCAATTTAATCACCAATTAAATATTTACCTTTTTGATTGTTGAACTCACCTTCTATACATATTTGTTCATTTTTCATTCATCTTATTTGAAAACTTAAAACCTGAAAAAATATTAAAATAACATAATGAGTTATCTAAAAATAACCCAATACAACAATTATTCTTTTAAACTACAGTAACCCAAGAAAAAGAAGACAATATGTATGCTTGTATTTTATATTTTATTATAAAAAATTCATATAATAATCTAATGCCTGCATTCGCGACATTTAATGAAAATAATCTAAATTTGTATATATATTGAATTTAACTTTACTTTTATTTTATATTCTTAATTTTTACATCCATATTAGGAACATCGTCAAAATATAACCTAGCATACCTTTGACTGGTATTATCTCGTCAGCATAGAAGTTTTTTATTTAATTTACACGATTGTATGAGGTAGAATAGTGCTTACTCGTCCATAATCAAATTTCTCCCGTCAGCATAGCGGTCAACGATCTTTAATATAACAATTGTCTGACATGGTAGGAAAACATTATTTGCGTGGGTACACTGACATCCTCTATCTCTACCATGGAGAGGTGAACTCCTCTTAACTTGCACATACATACATTCATGTATATAATAATTCCATTTCATTCTTCACAGCACACAGTCTTCTTTTGCATTTATTTACTCATGAATAATTGCAATTTTATTAGAATAAGAATGACATGTACTAGTTTAATAATTTCATTGGTAAACCATTACACAAGGTTATTAATATGCATATTTCTATCGGTCATTTAATATTATACTTCAGGCATCTTTATTAGAATCTAAAAACATTCAATAATCTGATAATTTGAAATTCATTGTGCAATTTTTTTAACATGCATATTTTTCTTTTTAACAATACGAAGAATCTATTAGAATTTAAATATCACTAGAATGGAGCATAATTGAAATCAAATATATATTTATAAAAAAAATTACTGAAATTTAAACATATAATTACTCGTCTCGATCCTAGACGATTTCTTTCCCTCTGACTTTTGACATTTCTCCAAGTTACACCTAAAATTTATAAAATATTCAATTTAATAAATTTATGTCACATTACTTAATTATATTTTAGTTATTTATAGTTAAATTTCCTCATTTTATATGTGAGTTTAAATCATTAAATTTTAAGTTTAGTTATTGCAATTAATACTAATATTAAATAATAATAATTTAAACAAATTACTTTTGAAAATTAAACTCTAACATTTCTTTAGCTTCTCTTCTTTTGCACAAATCACTAATCTCGATCTCACCTAGTTGTTTAGTTTGGTTGGTTGACCATGTTTAATCACTGATATTAATTCTAATAATTTAATATATGTTAATAACATTTAATTAACAATTTATATAAATAAAAAACATAATCTTACCTTAATTATTTCCACAAATGTTACTCCTCTCTGCACATTGAGTTCGATTTAGCCTCCCATACTTTGTGTGGTTCAACTCTACCTGTATGCAGATGTCACGACCCGACCCGAGGTTTGGAATTAACCAAGGTGGAAACATACAGCTAGATCAAGAGATAAATATTGTTATTCTATTTCTATTATTGATAGCTTAATGTCTAAATATAATTGAAAGTCTCACTATAGGAAATATTATTAATTAACATTTAAAACTTGTCTTTCTGGTTGTTGGCCTATCTCCTGTACACGTTAGCTCACAATATTTATCTTATTCAAAAGTTTAAATTTGGAAAAAAAAAATATAACATAATGAGTCATCTAAGATAACCCATGAGCAATCACACTTCTAAACTACATTCATAAAAGGAAGATAAAATAATATGCATGATAATTTTTCATATTTCTATAAAAAATCTTATAATAATTTAACTTTTGTGTCCATGACATTTACTTATTCGAATAAACTTATACTTTAATATACATTAACTTTAAATGCACTCTTCTAGATTTAATCTTTAACTATACTTCTATTTCATGCTATTAACATTTACATGTCTTAGGAGCACTGTTAAAAATTAATATAACACACCACTGACCGATATTATCTTTTCAACACAACGGTTCATGATTTAATTTTCATGATTGTCTGATATGAAAATATGCCTATTCGCCCCTGATCAATATTCTTCCGTTGGCACAGTAGTTAATGATCTAAACATCACAATTGCATGAGTGGTAGGATAACATCTACATGTGCAAGCATTATGTTTTCTCCTGCTTATAACATAATGGTGTGAACTCCTATTTCATCCACATACGAGCATCCATGTATACCATATTGTTATTTCATTATTCAAGGCATGTATTACTTTTATATGAGACGACTTGTATTTATCTTCTAAAATTAATGCAATTCTACTAGAATCAAAGGTCATATGATAATCTAATAGATGCACCCTTCTATAATTCTGAAGATCATGTAATAATCTGACATAAACATCTGGTCATGAAATAAACTAATATATACATCTATGCTAGAATATAAGGATCATCAGATATACACTTGAAATAATGAAAATTTTTGAAATTTAGAAATATAATTATTCACCTCAATCTTGCTTGCTCATCTCACAGACTCTTTATCTCCAATCCTAGGTTCAAATATTCTTCAACCTTAGTTATTGTTATAAATTAACTTAAATTAAGTAAATTAAACTTTTAAGTGTAATTAAAGCATATCTTTTCTTTAAATGTGATTCACCCTAAACCCTAAATCTTGAACTGAAAAACTCCATCAATTGCTTCCAAATTTCAATTAAGCATACCATTAAGATAATTAAATAAACATAAATAAATCTATATATATATATATGTGTGTGTGTGTGTATGTGTGTGTGTATATATATATATATATATATATATATATACAAAATCTATTCATGCCTTAATAAATCTTTCGGCTGCCCGCTAACCTCTCGAACGAGAGTTTTGTCCCATCCTTGAGGCTAAGCTCCCTTGCTCTTCCTTTGCAACTTCAGTCACTATTCGACAGAGGCTTCTGCTTCTTCCAGTACGAAAGCTTCGCCTCCTCCTTTCACTACGCAAGCGTCGAAACTTCCACGGATGCACACGGTCACTTCCTTCTCTCCTTTTTCTTCTTTCTTCCTACTTTTTCACTAGTCGACTAGGGCGTGGTAAATCACTTGGTCTCTTATTGTCCTCTCCTCTCCTCTCCTCTCTAACCCTTACTCTCAGATTCTTGTTCTTGCTTTTACGTTGATTCGAAAAGGGATATCGAGTGTTAAGTTGAAACAAAAAGATACTTAGCCTCATGTTTATTGGATTATTAATAATCAGACCAATCCACTGAGCAGGTGAGACAATTTTTGGATGAGGAATGACATGTTTATACATCCTGAAAAAAGAAGAAGAATGAAGGCCTACTACCAAACTTGATGGATGATGCATTGGTTGTTTCGCGTAATGACAACAAACTTAATAATTTGTCAGTTGACTCCCGTCCTAGAACCAGAGGCAGAGACAAGACTAAATTAGATCATTCGCAAGCTAACTGACTTTGACTTTTGGCGTAAAATTCCTATGTCTACATATTAATCTTTGTTTTTTGGGTATACATGTATTTCCCACGTGTGTGTTGTATGTCGGGTGGTTAGGGTGTCAATTTGGACCCTTTCATCCAACCTATCTGTACCTTTCCTTTTATTAATATATTTGCCTTTGTGCTTTCTATATATATATATATATATATATATATTATAGCAGACTTGCCTTTGACCTCTGCTTCTTTTCTTCCTCTTTGTTTTCTTCCTTCACCTTCAGACGAACACAATAATGTTCCCAGACTTCAGCTTCGGTTCTCCACTTCCCGTGCTAAACCCTCTTTCCTTTTCCTTTACACAGAAATTTGCACAGTGTTCACCTCCAAGCCCACGCCATGCTTTGCTCTCCCTCCTTAACAATTTGGCTAGGGTTTCCCGCATGTAACATGGACTTCCAAGCCTTAGATGTACATGGTATTTTTCCTTCTGCCTCATTCTTGACTTTGACTGGTCCTTCTGCAAGGACAACACCACCCCTCTTCCTTCTCACATGTAACCAAACATGATGTTGTCTTCCTTCATACAGGACACCTCCGACGTCTCCTTCAACTAAGGTTCCTCCTCTTCTCCTTGTTCCTCTGTGTCTCTCGTTCTCGCTTCTTTCAATCTCTTTCTCTCTAATTCACTCTTGCTTTATCTCGCTCTCGAATGCGGGGAAATATGGGGATAAGCGTTCGTTTTGATTTCTCATGAGTGTTACGTCTTTTTCGAACCACAACTATTATTTATTTATCTATTTTTTATTTTTTTAACAGGTTATTATAGTTGATGGGCTGAATGATTCAAAATTTTATTCGTTACCATCCAATGACAACTTCACTTATTTTTTATCAAAATCCAATGCCATGCCATACTAAATGGGTTGGAGAAAAGGCTAAGGAGATTGATAACTTAGGTTTTAAACTTTGGTATTCAGGTTCGAGTCATATTAGAAATTTTGTAGGTGTTATTATATATAAGAGTTTGAAATATAATGTTGTAAAAGTTAATAGAATTTGAGATATAATCATAGTCATATAGATTGTTGTTGATACTAAGATTCTTAATGTTATAAGTGTATATATTCCTCTAGTAGGTTTAAATATATGCCCAAAAGAAAAAAAATGAAATGACCTAAAAAAATTAATAAAATGATACCTCTTGAAGAAAGAATTTTTCTTGGAGATAATTTAAATGAACATGTTAGTAGAGTGGTAAAAAATTTTAGAAATATTTATGGTGGCTACAATTTTGGAGTATTAATTAATGGAGTGATAATTAAGAATGTATAATCATATTGGATTTTGCTTTAGCTTTATGATTTTTTTATTGCTAATAATTTATTTTAGAAAAGAGATGAACATATTATTACTTATAATAATAGATCTAATAAAATATAAATTTATTATTTTCTTATGATAAAAAAAGATCGTCAAGAATGTAAATATTTTAAGGTCATTTTAAGTGAAAATTTAAGTACTGAAAATTGATTATTAATTTTAAATTTTAAAATTACAAGTTGGAAGATATTAAATACAATTAAACATTGTCATAGAATTAGATGAGCGCACTTAAAAGACCAAATAAAAATATTTTTTTATGATTTGGTATGTTTATGACGAAGCTAATTTATGTGCGGGATAAAGTAACAGCGTTATTAATAAGTGACAAAAGTGTACTTGGAGAACCAAATGAAAAAATTTTTATAAATAAAAATAGTTACTGGTAGAATAATAATGTGCAAGAAAAGATAAAATATAAGAATTTTTTAATAAAAATTGGTTTAAATGTAAAAACTTAGAGAAATATGAAAGTTATAAGGTGACCCATTTGGAGTCTAAGTGAACTATTTGTGATGATAAAAATTCTATGTTTAGTGATTTTTAAAATATATTCGATTCTAAAGAGGTTGAAATGTTTTTGCATAAATTGTAAACAAGCTAAATAAAGAGAGAAGAAAAGTAAAGATTTAATATAAAATAAAAAATATTTTTGCTAGATGAAGATATTTAACATACGTTCGTGAGATAATTTGATAAAATTTTCAATGAAGGTTTTGAAAATTTGATTGACTTTAGTGACCTTAATATCGTTAATAATAATGAAACCTTTTATTTTTATCATCAAGGATGTTGAGGAGGATTTAAAGAAAATTAATGGTGAAAAACTAGTAGGGCCTTGATGTATCCGAATAGAAGTGCGGAAATATCTAGGAGATTTAGGAATTTTTTGGTTTACTAAGCTTTTTAATGTTATTTTAAAAATAAAAAGAGGAATGAAGACTAGAGGAAGGGCATTTTGGTCCTCATTTTTAAGAATAAAGGGGATGCACAAGAGTGTGCAAATTATAGAGGAACTAAGTTAACGTGTCTTTGATTGGAAAGAGTACTTGAGCATAGGTTAATACGTGATATAAAGATTGCTCGTAATCTATTTGAATTTATGTTGAACAAGTTTATTATGGAAGTTATGCATTTATTGTGAGGTTTGATGGAGCAATACAGAGAGTAAATAGGATCTATAAATGATTTTTATTGATTTAGAAAAGCTTACGATAAAGTTCTGAGATAAATTCTTTGGAGAGTTTTAAGAAAGAAATGTGTTGATATGACGTATATTCAAGTCATTAAAGATATTTATACTAGAGTTGTTACTTGTGTTCGAACTGAAGGCGGATTGACCAAGTATTTTCCTATTTCAGTTGGACTACATCAGCGATTGGCTTTAAACCCATATCTTTTTGCTTTAATTGTGGATGCTTATAGTGGACATCTACAGGAGGATGTACCTTGGTGTAGGCTTTTCGTTCATGATATCCTTCTTGTGGATAAGACTAAAGAAATAGTTGATGAACAATTTGAATTATGGAGGTCTACTTTAAAGTATAAAAACATTCATTTGAGTAGATCTAAAACTTTGGAATGTATTTTTAGTAGTAGTAGATCTAGTGATAGAGTATATTAATGAGTGATCAAATCATTTAAAGGAGTGAAGATTTTAGATATTTTGGGTCTATTATTCAAAGTGATGGTGATATAGATGGGGTTGTTATTTGTAGAATTCAAGCTGGATGGCTAAAGTGGAGGAATGCTTTGGTGCTATTATGTGATGGGAAAGTACCGTTTTGACAAAGAAAAATTTTATAAGATGGTGGTATGACCCGCAATGCTTTATGGCACATAATGTTGTCCTTTAAAAGAGAAGCATAAAACTAAGTTAAGTGTTGCTGGAATGAGAATGCTTAGGTGGGTAATTGACCTTACACTTAGAGATAAAATGCGAAGCAAATATATCCGTGAAAGACTTCGTGTAGCTCCAGTGACAGATAAAATTAGAGAGAGTTGTCTTAGATGGTTTGGTTACATTAAACATCGTCCATCTGATGATCCGATTAGGAGAGTAGATGTTTTATATTCGACTTATGTTAAGAAAGAATAAGGTAGACTTAAAAAGACCTGGACATGTTTAAAAATAATTATTATTTATTAGAATTAAATGAAAATATGACACTCATTAGGATACAATGGAGAAAAAAGATTCATGTAGCTGACCCCACTTAGTGAGATATAGGCTTGTTATTGTTGTTGTATCCAATACCTTGCCGTTCTTAGTATCCATTCACATATTAGGGCAAACTTGCTCACACCTTCACTGAAGGGTTATCAAAGCTTGCAGGGCCTCTATTTTCTCATTATTAATACATTCTTGTTGGCTTGTCTCAATTTGGAGATTATTTACAAATTTATGTCCTATTATTTAGTTGGTGATTATTCCATTGGACTCATAGCTCCAATCATGTTATTGCTAGATTATCTTCAAGAAGAGATTACACCATACTTTTCTCTAAACGATCTTGTTGCATTTGTGATTTTCCGAAACATTACAAAATTTGTGGGCTTTTCACATCTTGCCCTCTCATGAGAGTTTTTGTGTGTTGTACTTGGCCAAAATTTCAAAGAGCGGCTTAGTTAGTAGATCATTAAGGTAAGAAGAGAGGCGGGGAAGATGCATGAAATTTGAAAGTTCAAGCTCAACTAATTTTTTCCAGTTCACATCTACAAGAGGGACTATCTCTCATAATATACTTATATGTTTATTTTTGTCCAAAATGGACTTTGGGCATATTTTTTCAAATAAAAATATAAGTGATATATTTATTTCAGTAGGCGGATTACATGTAGGGTGTAAATGAGTCGAATCGAGCTCGAGCCACTCTCGGCTTGAGCTTAAGCTTAAGCTTGATTAATTTTATAGAACTTCAGCTTAAGTTTACGAGTTTGAGCCCCTTGTTTTTTATGAAAGAGAGAATTAAGGTAGGTTTATAATAAAATGACAAATAGAATGAACAATTATGAGAGAAAGAAGAAGAAATCACTTAATATAAAATACAAAATAATATTTTAAAAATATTTTTAATGCTTTAAAGATAAAATCCTCAAATTTAATATTATTTGAGTATATTTTATATTAATATATTTTTTAAATGAGCCAGCTCACAAGCTACTGAGTCGAGTCAAGGCTAGATTGAGCTTGGCTTGGTAGCTCATTGACCTCAGTTCATGAGCCACTTATCATGTCGAGCTCGAGCTCGCTTACAAGTCAGCTTTGACTTACACCCCTAATTACATGGTGTATAAAGTCAACATTCCATTTCTTTTTTAATTGCTTATTAAAAGCTTATTGGGTCAGTAAAGATCAATTATGCTGTAGTGTTTTAAATACAAGTTGTTGATTAATCGAAGTTTTTTTTTTCTCTATTGAGTTGTTCCTTATTAATTTCATATTCATTATGAATTTTGTATCTTTATTATTATTATTATTTTCAGGTTGGGCATCTCGAGTTTTCTTCTCCGACAACGGGTCTACTGCAGTGGAAATTGCACTTAAAATGGCTTTGCGAAAATTTTCACTTGATCACGGGCTTATGAACTTTGAGAATGAGAACTCAAGTGGAGCTTTTGAAATACGGGTGTGATGTCCATTTTTTTTATTCGGTTTTTTATTATATTGATAATATTTTTAAAATTGGCTTTTACATTATATTAATAATAATGAATGACTCGTTTACTTGTGCCTGTAATTGATGCTTATCAGATAACTCAGTTCTCTGGGTCATTTCATTGTAACCTAAAATTTTTTTTGAAGAATCTCAGGTTAGAACAGATTTTGAACCATAGCGGATATCTCAAATTATGTATCCTAATCTTGACATGATGCATAGATAAATTTCAGATGCACTGCACTAATGTGTGATAATATGAATCCTGCTATTGCCAATTGGTGAAACCCCATCATCGTTGGGATCCCTATGTCTCTGTTTTTGAAGAGGAAACTTCACGAACTAGTTCATTTAGCTAACTCTTTATCATGGGGTTGAGCTCTGTAGCTCTTGACCTCGTAACTCTAATTTGTACTCTGTAATTACTGTTAGTATTTTCTTTTTTTTTTGCAGTCACTTACAATTTTTTCTTAACATTCATTTGATTGGCATAAATAATAGTGTTATCTGTTTTGTGCATATTTAAACCAAAGAATAAATTTGTGGATCAATATTTGCGCATAGATATGAAAATGCTTTTCAAAATCCTCTGCTTCACACCCAATGAACACAAAACTTTTCTCATTTTTAAATTTATTCAGTTTTCAAGGTGATGTATACATGAATCAAAAAAAAAAATCACTTAGGCGCAAAATAAGTAGGGTTTATCAAACATCACTAATGCCGGAGCTAACCCGAACCATGCCAAACACAATTTTATTGTTGATTTCGAATGAAGCACAACATGGACTCATGGATGAAAAGCAACACAAACTTGTAAACAATAATATAAGAAATAACTACTCAACAAGTAATAACTTAAGTACTACAGAAGGGTAGGAACAGTCTTGGACAGCGTCGGGTGGTGGTTGAGACTCCGCTGGAAGGGCTGGGAAAGTGTCGGCAGCGGCTAGGAGAACGTCTGGAGGGGTGCCGAGAGAGGGCTGCAAATACTGTAGCTTGCTGGGAAGGGCGTCAAAAGGGATTGCGGTGGCTAGAGTGGTGTTGGGAGGATCTAGAGGTGCCGCGGCTAACGGGGGGGGGGGTGGGGGTGGGGGGGGCTCAGGAATGGAAGGCAGCGACTAGAGGAGAGCTGAGTCGAATTTGGAGGTGTTGTGACTGATTGGAGGAGGTGTAGAAATGGAAGGCAGCGTCTGGCGAGGACCTAGGAGGGAATGAAGGGTCCTGCGGCCTGCTGAAGGAGGCATAGTGGTGGTTGGTAGCGATGGTAGAGTGGCGTAATCACTATCTTAGGTCAGGTATAGCCGAAGCACCTCTCGCCATCGGATACAACCCCTTGGGAGGGGAAAGCCGTCGTGGCAAACCTGAAACCATAAATCACACAAAAGCTGATTAGATCTAAGAAAAAAAACCATGCATAAATATGAGGCAAATGCAAGATCCTAGGAAGGAAAAAGGTGAAAAAATGGAATGGAGAAATGGCTAGGAGTAGCGGGAAACTAGGGCACGAGAGAAGAAGAGGCGAGTGAATTAGGCACAGGGGGGTGGGGGAATAAGGCAAGGCGGAGTGACCACCTTTAACTAGAATGGACCTATCTCGGTCCAGCAGGAAGGCTGGACCAGCTCTTTTGCCTTGCCTGGACCAACAGGCTTAAACAACCCCTTGCCTGGACCAACAGGCTTAAACAACAGGCTGAAATTTTATAGTTTTATGCCAGGTCAATTTTGGAGGCATTATCATTCAGTTCTTTTAGATTGCAGAAGGGTCCATCGCCTTCGGGCCTGAGTTTGTTGTAAGCTCCCACAAAAAAAAAAAAAAGATCTTTCTTTAATCGTATCCATACGAGGTCACCTTCTTGAAATGTTGCCTTTTTTCCTAGACTTGTTTGCTTGTGTTTAATATTTGTGGTTTTGTTTCATAATCGTCTTCCGAACTTCATCGTGTGTTGTTGAATTTGGTGAATCCATTCTATAGCATTCCCACTGATATTTGCTGGGGTTAGATTTGCAACTAACTCAAAGGTGATTAGAATGCGGTCGTACACAATTTCGAATGATATGTGTCTTGTGGTTGTCAGTCAACTTTTTTTTCGATTGATTAATTATGAAAATATGGTATATGAAAATAATTTTTGAGATTTAATTTAAGTATAAAAGATATATAGTTTGAGTTTTAAAAGTAGTATGTTTTAATTTTTGAAAAATGAGACCAAATGGATCTCATTAGTCTGATAGTTTGCATAATCGTGCCTGATACCGCGAATACTACACCTTCTCGAGAGATAAGTGTAGACCTCGGCGATAGACCCAATCCTGCAAACTAAGAGATTTGTGACATCCGTTTAGTCTGCGAACCTTTTATATATGACCGACAAGTTCCCCTATTTAATACAAAGATTAAATAGGATTTATTTTACCTGGGTTCCAA